TTGACTTTGATACAGGAAAAGCTGCACAGATAGCCCCAGATGTCAGGTATTGCACACATTAGAGTAGTTAATTGCCACGTAATTATTTATACATTATTATAGATAAACTTAACGTTCATTGGGTAAGCTTTTATTTAAATTGCATTATAATTTCAAGTTACTCAACATATTACTAATAACTATTACACGTATAATGCACGTGTATTGTTCACACAAAGCAAATACAGATAGATATATTTTTCAATCTGTTTCTTCAATCCTCAGAGTCTTGTGAAGTTTAAAATTTCTACATTTCTACGAACAACTGACAAAACCTAAACGCCTATCCAGCACCAAACACGGTGGCCACTAGCATACCACCGCTCATAACCAGACGTCGGTAACTTATAACTTCTGTTCAACTTGCACAAAACCAAGACATGACTCTAATATAACTTATATGTAACTTGCCACGTACACAACTTGGTATAACAAAGACGTAAAACTGACATAAATAACGTATAACCTGTGTGTAACTTACCCCGCACACTAAACCTGAATGAAGTTGGACGTATGCTGTGCATATTTGAAAAAATTGTGTCTAGACTTAGTCACAACTGACCTCTGAATAAAGAGTAAGACTTAGTCACAACTGACCTATGAATAAAGTGACTCAAGACTGAGTCAAAACAGACCTCTGTATAAGATAGCTCCAGACTTAGTCACAACTGACCTCTGTATAAAATAGCTCCAGACTGACCTCTATATAAAATAGCTCCAGACTTAGTCAGAACTGACCACTAAATAAAGTGTGTCAAGACAGAACTGACCTCCTCCTGTGTCATGGCATGGAACTCAGCGGCCAGAGAGTTGCCACTGACGGCCGTCACCAGCTCCCGCCCCTCCTCCACGCCCCGCGTCAGCAGCTGCGCCTGTAGCTCCTCTACCTGCTCCTCCAAACCTGTGCCACAGATACGCGGTGTCATTTCCCGTATCATATTGTTTTATTTGTCATATTAAGTGTCATATTGTTTTAATTGTCATATCATATTGTTTTAATTGTCACATCATATTTTTTTAATTGTCATAATATTATATTAATTGTCATATTGTTTTAATTGTAATATCATATTGTTTTAATTGTCACATCATATTTTTTTAATTGTCATAATATTATATTAATTGTCATATTGTTTTAATTGTCATATTATTTTAATTGTCATATCATATTGTTTGAATTGTCATATTCTAGTACCTATAGCATTAGTGTGCTTGGCACTAATACGCCATTTAGTCGGGCAAACTTGGTCAGGATGACGCATACAAAGGCAGTAGTGCATCAGAATTAAGACAATGTTTCAATAATTTCTCCGGTTACAGTTGGTGGTGGAGCTACCAAGTTGAGTGCACTCTACCAGTGGGTGGTGGAGGTAACAATTTCAAGCGAGAAACGCGAAATGATATGTTTAAATATTTTGCATTCTGTTAGGTATGATATGAATTCAAATTAACAATTATGAATTATGAACTCGCCAGCCTAATTCATGCGAGTGAGTGTTGCCAGTAAGTGAAGAAGAGGTGAAATTGATGCAAAAACAGTAACGGGTTAATAATGGAAACGAGAAAATGAAATGATCATCGAAGACACAGATTGTGTTGCGGTCACTTCCGATATGGCAGGTATCCATGATAAGGCTTGCTAGGCCTTGCCTGAACTAGTCAGGGGGTTAGTGATTGCACAAACAAACAAACACACCATAAGCAAATATATTTCGATTAATATAGAAGAAAAAAACTAAAATTCTGTTCGAAAGCAATAAACTTACAAGCTCAATCTTATTTAGAAGCAACTTAGAGAACGCCAAGTAAATTCACCATATCGATATTGAAAACGTTTTGGAGTCCAGCTCCATCGTCAGTTCGACAATCTAGAACTAACGATGGAGCCGAAACGTTTCTATTAACTCCGATGGATGGACTTCCACTATTCGATGGACTCCGAAACGTTTTCAATGTCAACGTGGTGAATTTACTTGGCGTTCTTTTTGCTTTTAAATTCCTTGTTAACTTGCGTTTTAAGCAGACTAAGGATATCAGTACTCACTCTTATTATGTTGTCTGTGGTGACTTCAGTAATAACATTTTTTTAAACTCTAAAGCAATTAACTATAAGTACTCACTCTTATTGTGTTGTCTGTGGTGACTTTAGTTCTAACATTTTTCTAAACTCTAACTTTCTAAGCCAATAAATTAAAAATAAGTACTCACTCTTATTGTGTTGTCTGAGCGCCTGGAGCGTCGCGTTGAGATGGTCCGTGGAGAGGCTGTCGGTGCTCGGTAATCTCGCTCTGCCGGCGCTCTCTATAACGCTAGTTAAACGCTCTACTTCTCCCCTCAGTTCTAAAATTATCTGTCGGTAGAAGTAGAGTTAGTTTACTATTGTTCTAAGTTCTCCGATTATCTGCCGGTAGAAGTAGAGTTAGTTTACTATTGTTCTAAAGTCATTATAAGTTTAATAGTGAGTTACAGTGAGGCTTCGCAAACAACGTCATCATATGTTGATCTGGTGATGTCTACCGGGAAGCAAAATATATTTATTATCATCTAATAATTATTAAAATAACAATACAATCAACAATCCACCAATAAGATAAAAACTTCCGTCTTCGCCAGAAAACAAAAATTATACATACCCTTGAATCAAACAAGGCAGGCTGAAAAACCACAAACTGCACGAAAAATATCCTTGTATATAACGACATGCAAATTGCTAACATATCCTTTGAATATTGAGAACTAGTCTTACCTTTTCAGATTTCTCCTGCTCCGCCAGAAATTCACTTCTGACTTGCGCCAGCAGCGTTTTGTTTTCTTCTCTTAAATTATTTGCGGCGATCTCAGCCTCGGAAATTCTGTTAAGAACTCGTCTTACCTTTTCAGATTTGTCTAACAAATGGAAGACTTGATAATAGTTCTTGATACGATTAGAGTTGAAGTAAGCGGCCTTCATTACAAGTGCGTTTTATGCAACGTCTTGTCTAATTCTACAGCTGCTCGTGAATTGAACATTTATCATATTACCTGTTGATCTGTGTGTTGACTTGAGCCGAACTGTGCTAAACAGTATATTTTAATATAAAATCAATTTACCGTTTGTCATGTTTTACATTTGTAATTAATACAGGTTACTCTGATGTACACACAAAGTGTCACACTTGAATTAAAATTAGGGTCATTCTACGAAGCAAGATCATATTTCTACACAGTTTTTACTAGTACTTGATTATTACTCTTTCTGATTCAGGCAGACCAAAGTATTTAGGCTAAGAAAAAGTTGCTATATTACTTACTTTCTGAACTGTAGAATATCTTCAATAACATATATTATTCGATGTATGAAAAATGACTTATGAACAAATGTTATGTTTTAAAATGTTTTAATGAAAAGTAATTTTAAAATGAACAAATGTTATGTTTTAAATGTTGAAATGAAAACTCATTTTGAAAACTGATATCTCCGGGAAATATTTCTTGATATCCTAGATTTGTTTCAACCCACCGAGTCGTAGCTATCAGGTTCAAGTTCAGGTTGCAGAGGGCCAACGAATATCCTACAGACTGGACGGTAGACGAGCAACTGAAGACCCAAGAACTCTTCACGACGCCTAAACGAAAGTGTATGAGGGAAAAACTTGAGCGTCTCTTAGACTAGAACTGGGCGGAGCTTCTTCTTTTTATGCGGGTATACCCTTTAGTCATTCACTTTATTTTGTGATGAAAGTAGGTGTTAGAATTTAGGAAGTTTACTTTTCAAACTATGAAGTATCATCTTCAATGGTAGCTCAGAGACCATTATATGCTGCTCATCTCCATTAATGCTGCTCATCATCTTGAGTAATATTGAACTTAAAAGTCATGAAAAAGTATAACAACTATTAGATTAAGAAGCGTAAATGTAAAATGGGAATGTTATTAATAGTACCAACAAAATAATTAAATTAAATTCTATTATTTGTTCGAAAGAAAATTGAAATTAGCATGATACGAGTATTTTTTGTGCTTGAAAATTTTACTTCTAACACGTTCTCTATTACCCTCTAGCGGGGATTTCCCTGGAATTTCTGCGTATCTACGCCAAAAGTACCATCAACTATCGCATAATAGAATGAATCTTCTTCACTAAATTTCTCACTTAGACCACCGAATATTTGGTGGCATTAGATGATGCCACAAAGAAAATTGAAATTAGCATGATACGAGTTTTTTTATGCTTGAAAAAATTACCCTCTATCTGGAATTTCCCAGGAATTTCTGCGTATCTACGGCAAAAGTACCGTCAACTATCGCATAATAGAATGAATCTTCTTCACTTTCTCACTGAGACCATCGAATATTTGGTGGCCTTTGATGATGCCACAAAGAAAATTGAAATTAGCATGATACGAGTTTTTTATGCTTGAAAAAATTACCATCGATCTAGAATTTCCCAGGAATTTCTGCGTATCTACCCCAAATGTATACCATAATAAACAATCGCATAATAGACTGAATCTTCTTCACTTTCGCACTGAGACCATCGAATATTTGGTGCCATCAGACGCGGTGAACAAAACCTGCCTGCCTGGATCCCAACCACCCAATACAGCAGCATCGCCTCCAGGCGGCCTCGTAATCCAAGGCCTAGCAGTTCGCTCGAATGCACGCTGATTAGATGATGTCTAGGATCATTTTTAGTCAGTTTTCGTAGAGAATGGAAGAAAAAATTGGTAAAAAACGCTAAAAATGAAAGTTGCAGTGCAACATCCAGTCCAGCCAACTTGATTCGAAAGGAAACAAAGGCAGAAGAGAAGAACTGGTTACGATGAGACGATCTTCTTCCCTTGCTACCCCTCCCTGATAGTACTAGCCGGCTTAATTTTTTTCTGATTTTTCTGAAAATTTAAATGCCTGATTTGCATTATGTCTCTGTTTGTAACCTGTTATTATTTTGATCGTCGTTCAATATAATGCCGCTCTATTGTCAATGCAAACGTATACATTTTTACCTGATGATACTTCGTCATCATCAGGTAAATGATGTGGCGACAGGCCACATCATGCAGGCCTACACTTCAGCGCCGACATCACTATGTTATGTTATGTCATGTTGACTCTCCTTTTGATGAAATCTCATTCAAGTATTCATCTGCAGGCGCATCGATAGACAGTTAGTTGATGTTGGATTATAAATAATCTGGATATATAAATAGTTGAGCTAGCTCTGTTTATAGCCTGCTTCATTGTTCACTAGACTTCACTGTCGTTTTAAATATCTCGGCAATTACTTTTATGTTACTTAATATTGTTTATCATATATTTCAATTCCTCACCAACTTAGCGTGCGTATGCATGGTGACAATACAAAGGTCTTTGATAGAGCTCTGGCTAGAGCTCGAAATAACATCGGCTTCAAAATTCACTGATTTCTGAAGATAAAATATGAATTTAAAAATTTAATCTGGTCAACATTTCCACTCGATAAGGGAGTTCCTTTTGAAATTTTATAATAAATGTGAGGAGTGCGATCTCCAGGGAATAGGGAAATTTACGGAGCACAAGCGGTGTGATCCATAAACTTATATAGTTTTTTTTATTTGTTTAAAAATATCTCAAGAGTTACAGTTGACGGGAAACTGGAAAGTGACTTGCGATTTGGCAGTACACTCCATGAGAAGAGGCAAGTCATTTCTGAACTGTTTAGAAATCCTTTCTGCTTGGAAGATCTCAGAGCAGAAAGGTTTTCAGTCGTAATAAAAATTCTCTATTTGATCGGATCAAAAATATTCAGCTGCTATGCAGTTGCTATATTATTCAGTTTCAATCTTAAAACATATTATTATTGTCTTAATTATCATAATTTCTAAAGCTATCTTAATTCGAGAATTCATAGAAGCCAATGGATACAAGTTAAAATTTTTTTGAAACTATTCAGCTTTCCTTGAATCTTCAAAAATTCAAAATACGCAAAAGAAAAGTCGTCGCATGGTCTTCTAGCGCAACAAGGAAACAAACGGCAGACCTCAGACAAATGTATCAAATCAGCGTAAGGCCAGTAATGAACAATTGAGCATCTCTTGGAAGTGCCGGTGAGAGTGAAAGTGTTTCGAGATGGAAGTATACGCGTATTTCTTTCTGTGTGTCTGTTATTGTCAGTAGTATATGTTTCATCGTTCAATAAATGAGCTGGAATGGTTGAGTGATTCTTGACGTTACCTTCCGGCATGGTCTTGGTTATACGTAATGGTGCATGCGCATGACCAGCTTTGTCATGATTGTTAATTCTCTTATGCAGTTAAAACATTTCCTGTGTGAGGTTCTTTCAAACCTGTGTAGTTTGCTGCTGCAAACTGCGTAGTTTGCTGCTGCTTCTTAACACTGCATGTATTTATCTGTGCTGCGAGATTGATTAAAAATTATATATAGCTTTCAATAACGATTTAAATTTCATATTTTGTCTCATATTGAACATACGTATAAGTACATTCGTCAATTTTAAAAGGTACGGTTGGATCAAAGTGTGCGATCTGTTCTTTTCCTTCTTTTTCTTCTTTCTTTTACTTCAAGAAATGTTCCTTGGTATGTACTATGGTCAAAAATTACTGCCATTACTCTTTTTCTCGTCAATTCGAAGCTGAAATATCACAGCGCGCAAACGTACGTTCCCCTTGCAAATTACTTGGCTAGTTTTTTAGGTTTTGAAATTACGCTTTCACTATTTTTACTCGACGCTTGCCGATGATAAAGTGAAACATTTTGCAGGAGGGAAATAGCTCATATGATTAATTTTTCCTGGTAAACAATACATTTTCTATAAGATTATCCGGGCACGATTTGAGTTTCAGTAAATAATTTTGTTTTTCAGTTTCTGTTTTATACGCGAAGATCTGTGGCTATTTCCCAGCGTCATTTGCGCTTTCACAAGGAAACTAAATAAATTCTATGCGGGCAGGCTTTGTTAAACTTTCTCTTAATGAGCTAAAAGAACATAAATAGAATTTTCAGCAAAGATTTTCAAGCTTTATAGTGGCATTGTGATAACTCAGTTTTTATTGTATTGAACTTTATGTTAAACACGTGTTAGGTAAACTAACAAGTGTTCACGTGTTCGGTAAATTTTCAAAATGCCAGGTACAGCGTTATACCTTATTTTTTTCATTGCTTATGATATGTCAGGTACAATTGCCCTCTGTAGAAAAATGATGGAATACTAAACGAGTCCTTATTGTTTTTTCTAATATTTTTTCCTTTGGGTCACGATTAAGTTAACAATGAAGCTCAAACGGGTTGTCCCCATATACGTAGCCAGTCGTGATCGTAACTTTGAATCGTTGGCTTTAGTGCGCAACGTTTTAATAATTTGATAAATTCACGAGCAATGAAATAACATGAAGATTATTAATACATAAAAATAGTGTTGTATTCCTGAAGTTATGAAGCAGAGATGATTATCTCCATAATTATAACCGAATTCTACACAGCCATGAAAAATCATCAGTAAACTTCTCGCCAGCAAGGCTTCTTTAGAGTTATGTTTTTTTTCTAGTAAATCTTCATCAAAATCAGCTTCTATATTAAACCTTTATTAAAGTCTTCTCCTCCCTAGCGAAGTTTTATAAAGTTTTAGTTTTTTTATTGGTCAACCACTATTGAAATTACCTTTTTTCCAGCAAACTTTATCGTAGTCTATCACTCTTTCCAAGTGTATCTATACATTATCAGAGTCGCATCTTTTCCAGTAAATCTTTATCGCAGTCACCGTTATCAAACATTCATCAGAGTCTTCTTTTCCTCAGTACACATTTGTCAGAGTTATTAAGCTTCTTCTCAGCAACCCTATATCAGAGTCACCTTCTTAGTAACGCTGTGTCCGAATCCTCTTATTCTCCGTAACCCTTCATCAGAGTCAACTTTTTCTCAGTAACTCTTCTCCATAATCACCTTTTTATCAGTAACCCTTTATTTGAGTTCCCTTCTTCTCAGTAACCCTTTGTCATAGTCCTTTTCATCTTATTAACCCTTTATTTGAGTTCCCTTTTTCTCAGTAACCCTTTGTCAGAGTCCTCTTCATCTCATTAACTTCTTATCAGAGTCCCTTCTTCTCATTATCTTTTTGTAAGAGCCTTCTTCATCTCATTAACTCTTTATCATGCAGAGTCCCTTCTTCTCAGTAGCTCTTCGTCAGAGTCCTCTTCATCTCATTAACTCTTTATCAGAGTCCCTTCTTCTCAGCAACCCTTTGTCAGAGTCCTCTTCATCTCATTAACTATTTATCAGAGTCTCTTCTTCTCAGCAACCCTTTGTCAGAGTCCTCTTCATCTCATTAACCCTTTATCAGAGTCCCTTCTTCTCAGCAACCCTTTGTCTACATTGAAGAGGACCTATGGTGAAGGTGCTCGAGGAAGTGAAGTGGTCTCCTTTGAAAGGGTAAAGCCTTCAGGGAGATTCTTCGCAATCTTTGATGATGGAATTTAAGAAGAACATAATTTTTTTTAGAAAATCTTCTATTAGTTGAGAAAATATCTGCTAAAATTAAGATCTATTTAGAAAAAATGTTTAAATTATTATTGATTGCGAAAATACTGTTTAAGAAATTATTTTTAGTTTTTGTGACGATTTTTTGGACAAATGAGGTTATTCAGAATATTTTTTTTTCTTGATGATAATGTTCCTCTTGTTTTATAGTGATTCAGAAAACGTGATGCAAATATAATTAAGGGTCATATATGTATATATTGATCTCAAAGTTAAGGATTTTTTCGTTTAAAGGCAGGCCCTGTAACACGTACTAACCTATCGAGATATTACTTGGAACTAAAATGTTCATTTTCGCTGGGAAACTAGGAATCAGTTTAATTTTCCTCGCATTTCGTAATAATGGTAGTTAACCTATGTAAAATTAACATGCTATAAAGCTGGGTTAACCTCTGTAAAATTTACCTCCAATAATGACGTATTGACCTGCCGAGTTAACTTTGTAACATTTACCTAATTTATAATACCTCTTAACCTCTTCTAAATCAACCTCGTATAATTTATAATTTAGCTGCAATAATGACGTGTTGACCTGCCGAGTTAACTTTGTCACTTTTACCTAATTTATAATACCGGGTTAACCTCTTTTAAATTAACCTGATATGAACTCAGGTTAACTTAATTACCGAGTGACCCTTGCCAGGTTAACTTGCCAGACTAACCAACTTTAATTCCAGCAACCTCTTGATCATCGCCGCTAATTTTATAGGTAAGAATATCGTTTTATAAGCCGACACTGAACCTCTCATGAGGAACGATTGTGAAATTTAGGCTTCAGATACGACAATTAAATGCTTCAGCTTGTTGGAGTAAATGATTCAACTTTTAAAAGCATGGTTTTCTTCTTTTAGTACGCTTTAGTCTTAGTTTTATTCAGAGGTATGCTTTATTCAAATATTCAGTTTTCGTGATTAAAATAATCACAAATGACAATTACTTCTTCAGTGATTTTTTCCTAGCAAAAGTTCATCGCCTCAGTTGACTCGGTGTCGTCTGGCCGTGGCTCCGAACGCATTTCTAACCGGGCATGTGACGTGCAAATAACGTTGATTAAATGTTGTCTCAACGAAATCAACTCTGTAGGAACGTTGTTTCAACGAAATCAACTCTAAAGCTACGTTCTCTCAACGAAATCAACTCTAAATCTGCGTTGTTCTAACGAAATCAACGCCAAAGCTACGTTGATTCAACGATATCAACTGAAAATCTACGTTGTTCCAACTAAATCAACTTGTTATCAACATGCTTTGTTTCAAATAAATCAACTCGTATTCAACATTGTTTCAAAAACAACTCGTAATCAACGTTATTTCAATGAAATCAACTCGTAATCCTATTTGTTAAAAGTAATCAATTTTGTAATAATTTTCCGTGAAGGTTTTGGCGAGTACAAGAGGCTAAGAAGTATTTAGTTATAGTGGGTATTGCTGTGCTGATGCATGGCATTAGTTATTCAGTTCTTCCAATGTAGTGTAAATATTTTTTTAATCGCGAAAATTACTCCGACAGCCATATTAGATATGCTACAACTAGTCCTTTCAATACGCTGGTTCTCACGAATTTATATTCGATAAGCTGCCTTAATATGACTAAACAATTCTTCTTGTACTGAGCGGCAAATTATAAAAAAGTTATTTGATGGAAAGTGCTACATTAATAATGCAAATTCTTCCGAATTCAAATTTAATACGAAATGTTTTCCTTTTTTCATAAGTCGAGTATCCCGCACCTTTTCTTCACAAGTGTTCACGTATTCGGTACATTTTTAATAAAATGTCAGGTACAGCATCATACCTTACTTTTTCATTGCTTGTGCTATGCCAGGTACAGTGTAAAACTTTTTAATTGCTTATGAATTATGAACATGAAATACCTTCTAAAAAAGGAAAAGTATGAAAAAAATATAAGTTATTGTTTTATTGTAGCAATCAACAGCACAGCACAGCAAGCTGCCGTCCTGGAGCTCATCAGTAGAAAGAATAACAATTTGTTAATTGCACACAATCTATATACTTATGTACATTGCATATAATACATCTGGTCTGTAATGTTATCTAAGGCTCGCCTAATATAGGTACACTGTTCACGCTTCACACTTGTACAGGGTGAACCAGAATTAACTGACCCTTTTAATCTGTTAATAAATAAAAAACTAAGAACGTTATGAAGTTGAAACTTGTTTTATTTAAAAGAAGAATATTTTTATGGTAATATTGTATCCTAGTTTTTAGGATACAATAACTAACTAGGATACAATATTACATACAATATTTTAACTAATACATATTATTAATACATAATAAATATTTTAACTAATACAATAATAAAATATTGTAATAGGATACAATATTTTAACTAGGATACAATATTACCTGTCTCTTATACACATCTAGATGTGTATAAGAGACAGGTNCCTGGTCCCTGATGCAGTACTCATAGAGCCTGTAAATATAAAGTTTCAAGTCCATGAACTGCATGCATAATACACTCAGGAACATGAATGGGTCGTCTTGTCTAAATAGTGACATGATTCTTACCCACAGCACGAGCGGACGCCCATTTGCTGAGCCAAACATGAGTCTAAACGACCCGCACAAGGCAGAAAAAACATGAATGGCTATTCAGTGAATGTATTCCTAATTTTTTTGAGTGTACGTACACAAGGTTAATCAATTAACTCCAGTTCGGACAAATTAATTGAGATCTTAGCATATCATCGCTGCAAAATAGTATAGGCCTAATCGCAATAGCCTACAAAGTAAGTAGAAGTTTCTTCACCGACAAATGCTGATATAATGAGTAGACTAGTTGATCCACAGCCTCTTCGGCTGCGCAATAATTACACAGGAATTCTTAACTTTGTCTGCAAGTTAAATCAAAAATGTAGTTCAACTATAACAAGAATGCGTTCCAATAGAAATTTTTCACCGAGAACAGGAGAACTGAATTTCTGTCACAAATTTCACCAGTGCGTAAAAAATGTATTTGGATATTCGGTCGGTAAGGCGACATTCGGTCGGTAAGCCAACGTCGCTACGTTGTGATCATTATACAAGAGGTCAAGATGGTTTTACGTCCAATATAAGAACAAAGAAATTCGGCCTACCTTAGACAAGTTACTAGGGCTGTTTCTCCGTGTCAACGGCTCTCCACTTTCTCTAAAATGCAATTCGCTATCGGATAAAAATTGCAAAAAATCGACTTTGTTCACTTTATGACACATGAAGCTTCTAAATACACCCAACATTATAGGTTTATCCTCGACTTATGAAATATTCTGGAAGTTACAAGACAGACGCTTTCATCGGTAGCCTAACAAACTGTTTATTTCAGACGGGAAGACGGGCTGACAGTCGACAGCGGGACAGGCGACTAATGTCATCAGAAGATGAGCAAGCTCTCACTGCTGGACATGAAACAAATGCTTCGTAAATAATACCATGAACTTACAACCTTTGTTCTGGAACATTTAACGCTTCAGAGCTTTTTCACATTCTAAACATATTAAAGAACAAAAATTACAGGGTTTGTTACGTTAATATCAAACGAGTATTCAAAAATAAGTAGCTGGGTACCTAATAAAAAATGCCATACCGCGACAGCCTACTAAAATGCAAAAGTAAAAGGACTCATAATTGAAATTTATAACTTTCTAAAATATTAACTTTTGCATTGTAAAACACGAAGGAATTTCCCAGTCATAATAATAACATGCACCAGAAATAAAAGTCTCCACATAGTACATAAATCGCCATAACATCCAATGAAAATATAAGTACAACAACAAACCTAAACGTAAAATTAACTAAAATCACACGCAGGCACTTCAATAATATTTTAAAATCAAGGCACGGTCAATTAAGTGATTGTTCAAGCAGCACACGCTGCTTCAAACTATAACAATACAAGGTCATACATCAGATCTAAGTAGCTAAAAGCAAAAATGTTCGTTATGATGAAGGCTTTCGTTATGATGAAGGCTTTCGTTATGATGAAGGCTTTCGTTATGATGAAGGCTTTCGTTTAACTTCAAGCAGCTGGGGGTGGTTCTCGACGATGTTGAGTAGGATGCCGTCTATGTAGGTCCTGAGCTGCAGGTTCACCTCCTGCACGTCGTGAAGCGACTTCTGCAGCTGCACGTTCAGGAGGAATTGTCAGAGTGAATGAGAAAATTTAAAAATATAACTCAGTACTCACAGTAATTTATTAATGACTAATCCTCGTGAACATAAATGATTTATTGAAAGCAGGAATGATGAATGATGATGCAACATGTTTTTTTTTAGTTACGCCTAAGCGTAAGAAAACAACCACCAAAGAGACAGAATTAGAAGAAGTGTACGAATCTCGTGACTAACCAAGGTTCTCAATGCCAAAGTAACGTAGTTTTCGATTTCCGTAATTATCATACATTATTATTATAAAAACTATGTGACTCTTCGATTGGATGCAGCTTCTCGTAAATTTGAAGCTATCAATGTTATCAGTGAATAAACAGGCTTCATTTTCACAGGATTTAATAATTGACATGTTCACCAGCTATACACACAATAAACCGCAAAACGCCTCAGCAAATGTGAACAATGCACAGGAGAAAGCGGTCGCAAAAATAACTTAAAAGGCTTTACTTCAACAAGAAAATAAGAAGACGGGACTTTGTGTAGAAAGATTCTGACTGTTCCGCATCAGCGGCAAGTTTTTGCACAGTTTTCGGGGATAGCACAAAACAAGAAACATGAGAAAATATTACAAGGAATTTGAGACAGAAATTTAGATAGGTTTACCTAATTGATTAATAAAATTCTCGATTATATGCAATAGAGGCAATCCATGCAATCACCCAGCGAGCAACGGCGCAAAGCAAGTAGTGCTGGATGCCTGCATGGCCAATATAAAAGTTAATAAAATGATACACAATGACATATACTATATTTTTATATACATATGAGACTACACATATCTATATAAAAAAGATACTGAGAATTATGAAAATATAAGATATAAATAGCCAGAAAAAAGCCACTCAAACAAAGAAAACGAGAAACATCAGAGGCAAACATCAGTCATTAAATTATCCGGTCAAACCTGACACCGCTAAAGCCCAGTTAAGAGAGCATAGAATTGATTAACAAAAAAGCTGTTAATTTTAAACAACGAGTTACGACATTCCGGCGGGCAATGAGAAAGTTAGTTTCAAAATAAAACTGATGGATGAAACTTTACCTCTTCTACAGTTTCTCGTTCCTTGAGTTCAACCTAAGAGGAAGAGAGAGACGAAGCAGGTTTTAGGGGTGCGTGGGAATGCCAGCATTGGTTCATCAGCAATGATCGGTGATGAGAATAATGTGAAAATTTCGCTATAAGATGCCAACCCCTAAACGTATCTATAAATTAAGACGTTGACTACGTATTGGTACATATGCGTACCACGAAATGTATTTCTCCAGGACGTAGTGGTCTATAATTCAGGTTGCCTAAAATTGGCCAAATCCGAGAACAAAAAAGGCCGATAACTCAAAATATACTAGTTTATTTGTAGGTTCCACTATCAAAATTCCATTTATTTTCTTTTTGTAGTATTTAAAATTTAATTAGGAATTACCCCTATCATAAATTTTAGCCGGCCAACGAAATTGAGAAAAACTAAATCACGGAATTTGTCTGAAAAAAATGACCGTCTGGCAACCTTGTTTAAAAAAAGTACAAAAAATGAAATAATAGTACAATATGAAGCAATCGGAGTCAACGTGTTAAGATCAATTTTTTTGCGTAGCAACATATGAAGCCTTCGCATTTGAAACTAGAATATAATTTAATATTAATAATCAAATATATCACTCAAGCGTCCATACTAAAAATATTATAGTAATTCAAATTCAATATTACAGCACGCCAGCAAACCAAGCGATTATCTGCTAGCATGTTTAGTATCACACAAATGTTGTTAATAAATTCTCTAAGGTTGACTTTGATAAAGGAAAATCTGCACAGGTAGCCCCAGATGTCATGTATTGCACACATTAGAGTAATTAATTGCCACGTAATTATATATACATGATTATATATAAACTTCGTTCGTTCGTCATTCATTGGATAAGCTTTTATTTAAATCGCATTATAATTTCAAGTTACTACAGCACATTATTGATACCTTTTACACGTACAATGCACGTGTATTGTTCACACGAAGCAAATACAGATAGAAATGTTTTCGATCAGTTTCTTCAATTCTCGGAGTCTTGTGAAATTAAAAATTTCTACGTTTCTACGAACAACTGACAAAACCTAAATGTTTATGCAGCACCAAACACGGTTGCCACTAGAATGCCACCACTCATAACCAGACGTCGGTAACGTATAACTTCTGTTCAACTGGCACAAAACCAGGATATGACTAGTATAACTTATATGTAACTTGCTACGTACACAACTTGGTATAACAAAAACGTAATAAGACATAAATAACGCATAACCTTTATGTAACTTGCCCTTCACACTAAATTTAAATGAAGTTTGACGTATGCTGTGCATATTTGAATAAAGTGTGTCAAGATCTAGTCACAACTTCCTCTGAATAAAGTTGGTCTGGGTCTAGACTTAGTCACAACTGACCTCTGAATAAAGTGTGTCTAGACTTAGTCAGAACTGACCTCTGAATGAAGCGTGTCTAGACTTAGTCACAACTGACCACTGAATGAAGTGGGTCTAGACTTATTCAAAACTGACCACTGAATAAAGAGTAAGATTTAGTCACAACTGACCTCTGAATAAAGTGTGTCTAGACTTAGTCACAACTGACCTCTGTATAAAATAGCTCCAGACTTAGTCACAACTGACCTCTGAATAAAGAGTAAGACTTAGTCAGAACTGACCTCTAAATAAAGTGTGTCAAGTCCCAACTGACCTCCTCCTGTGTCATTGTCCTCCTGTATAATCTGTCATCTGTCATGTGTCATGGTCCTCCTGTGTAATCTGAATAAACAGTAAGATCTAGTCAGAACTGACCTCCTCCTGTGTCATGGCATGGAACTCAGCGGCCAGAGAGTTGCCACTGACAGCCGTCACCAGCTCCCGCCCCTCCTCCACGCCCCGCGTCAGCAGCTGCGCCTGTAGCTCCTCTACCTGCTCCTCCAGGCCTGCGCAGGAGATACGCGGTGTCATTTCCCGTATCATATTGTTTTAATTGTCATATTAATTGTCATATTCTTTTAATTGTCATATTAATTTTCATATTCTTTTAATTGTCATATTAATTTTCATATTATTTTAATTGTCATCATATCATATTGTTTTAATTGCAATAACATCATATTGTTTTAATTGTCATATTAATTTTCATATTGTTTTAATTGTCATATCATATTGTTTTAATTGTCATATCATATTGTTTTGATTGTCATATATGGTTTTAATTGCCATATCATATTGTTTTAATTTTCATATTTTCGTACCTATAGCATTAGTGCACTCAGCACTAATACGCCATTTTGTCGGGCAAACTTGGTCCAGATTACGCATACAAAGGCAAAAAGTGCATCAGAATTAGGACAATGTCTCAATAATTTTCCTGGGCACAGTTGGTGGTGGAGCTACCAAATTAAATGATGTCTACCAGTGGGTGGTCGAGGTAACAATTTTAAGCGAGAAACCCGAAATGATATGTTTAAATTATTAAATTATTTTGTTTCAACAAATTTTGTTTAAAAACAAAATTTCGCATTTTGTTAGGTAAAAATTCAAATTAACAATTATGAATTATGAACTCGCCAGTATAATTCATGCGAGTGAGTGTTGCCAGTAAGTGAAGAAGAGGTGAAATTGATGCAAAAACAGCAGCGGATTAATAATGCAAACGAGAAAATGAAATGATCATCGAAGAAAACAGATTCTGTTGCGGTCACTTCCAAAAAGGCTTGCTAGGCCTTGCCTGAACTAGTCAGGGATTTAGTGATTGCACAAGCAAACAAACACACCATAAGCAAATATATTTCGATTAATATAGAAGAAAAAACTAAATTTCTGTTCTTTTTTAATATTTTTATATTTACATGCAACTGATTATTTTTATGGTGGTATATAAGCAGAGTTACGCGTTAGGAATGTTGCGTTTATATGGCAGTAGTCCTTTTATGTTGAGCATACTACGTCAGAGGCTTTACATATATGAAACATATATGGTATATGGTATACGGAATATGATATATGTATATGGTATAAGGTATATGATATTTGGTATACGGTATATGTTATGTGTATATGGTATATGTATATGGTATATGATATATGGTATTCGGTATATGGTATGTGGACTACAAGAATTGTTGAGGTTGATATGTGTAGACTGCGTCAGAGTTAAGCTGGGAATCAATTTGTTCGTTTGCTGTATGTGTACTTGTTTGGGTATGTTGAATTACTGATGCAAGGCTGATTTGTCCAATGCTGTATTTACTGAAGTTGTGTTGGTTGCAAATGGAAATGGATGGCTGGATGCTTGATAGTGAGTGTCCAATGATCGTACTAGCAACACTCGGGCAAATGTACGAGTCATTTTGTTTAAATAATGACACATTTCATCAGAGTGGCACAAATGCGCCCATTTTCTGTAAAGTGAACATGTTGCATTGTTTTTTGTTTCATTGAGATTTAATTTCTTTTGATAGTATTTTTGAATACTATGCGTCTCTATACATAATTTAAATCACTTTTCCTGTTAAGTTTGTGTACTTACATACATTAAAATACGATTTTTCAAGTGTACGAATATTTATTTCCCCCCACTGTATATGGTATACGGAATATGGTATATGTATATGGTATATGTATATGGTATATGTATATTGTATATGGTATTCGGTATATGGTATATGGGATGTGTGCTACAAGAATTGTTGAGTTTAATATGTGTAGTATGCATCAGAGTTAAGCAGGGAATCGATTTGTTCGTTTGCTGCATGTGTACTTGTTTGGGTATGATGAATTGTCGATGCAAGGCTGATTTGTCTAATGCTGCATTTACTGAAGTTGTGTTGATTGAAAATGGTTGGCTGGATGGTTGAGAGCGAGTGTCCGATTATCGTACTGGCCACACAGGCAAATGTACGAGTCATATTGTTTAAATAATGACACATTTTATCAGAGTGGCACTACTGGGTCAGAATGACCCATACTAAGGCAATAAGTGCATCGCTATTTGGACAAAGCCTCACTCATTTATCTACGTGCAGAGAAGCATTTACTACGTGTTGGCGCATTAATTGTAGATGTGATCGCTAGCAGCGCACTCGCGCATGACTGTGTTGTGACTGCGCATTGAAATGTGCGTAGGTCTTCCATAGTCAAACATTTTTCAAACATTTTTAGTTAGTTAATAGTGTTCGTTTTTTCGGCACTGTTGGTGTTATCCTTGTGCTTTACAATGAATCAGCCCGACTACTATGCCAAATTGTGTCGTCTGTGATGGCTTTAGTCATAACAATTTTCTGAACTCGAAAGCAATAAACTTACAAGCTCAATCTTATTAAAAAGCAAAGAGGACCCCAAGTAAATTCACCATATCGATATTGAAAACGTTTTGGAGTCTAGCTCTATCATCAGTTCGAAAATCTAGAACTGCCGAGGAACTGGACTCCGAATTCCTTGTTAACTTGCGTTTTAAGCAGATTAAGGATATAAATACTCACTCCTATTGTGTCGTCTGTGGTGGTTTTAGTTTTTCATACATTTTTCTAAACTCCAAAGCGTACTCACTTTTACTGGAGTACGGAATTGTGCTTTCAACTCTCAACAGAGAGAGATCCAGTCAACAATCGTGAACCGACTCATGAAAAATCCAACACTCTGTTCATATTGTGAGACGAGCGAACTGCAACCGGTGTGTGACTGTGAGTGTGTGTGTGGAATTTGCGAGGGATCACATAATCATAGTCAAGATTATATGGAGTAGTACTCACTCTTATTGTGTCGTCTGTGGTGGCTTTAGTTCTAACATTTTTCTAAACTCTAAACTAATAAATTAAATAAGCTCACTTTTATTGTGTTGTCTGAGCGCCTGGAGCGTCGCGTTGAGATGGTCCGTGGAGAGGCTGTCGGTGCTCGGTAATCTCGCTCTGCCTGCGCTCTCCACCACGCTAGTTAAACGCTCTATTTCTCCCCTCAGTTCTAAGATTATCTGCCGGTAGAAGTAGAATTAGTTTACTATTGTTCTAAAGTCATTATAAAGTTAAGCTCGGTAACCTCGCTCTGCCGGCGCTCTCTATAACTCTAGTTAAACGCTCTATTTCTCCCCTCAGTTCTAAGATTGTCTGCCGGTAGAAGTAGAGTTAGTTTACTACTGTTCTAAAGTCATTATGAAGTCAATACTGAGTTACAGTGAGGCTTCGCAAACAACGTCATCATATGTCGATCTGGTGATGTCCACTGGGAAGCAAAATATATTTATTATTATCTGGTAAGAATTAAAATAACACAATCAACACTTCGGTGATAAAATAAAAACTTCGTTCTTCGCCAGAAACAAAAATCATATATAGGTACATTTGAATCAAACAATGCAGGCTGAAAAACCACTAGTTGCACGAAAAATATTCCGTGTATATAACGACAATAAAATTGCTAAAATATCCTTTGAATGTTAATAACTCCTCTTACCTTTTCAGATTTGTCATGTTCCGCCAGAAATTCACTTCTGACTTGCGCTAGCAGCGCTTTGTTTTCTTCTCTTAAATTATTCGCGGCGATCTCAGCCTCAGAAATTCTGTTCTCGAGTTCGTTGCGCTCGCGCTGCTGCCGGTCCAGCTTCGCGCGCAGCCGCTGCTGTTCCTCCTCCAGACGAGCGTTCGTCTTCTCCAGATTTTCTTGTCTGCAAATATATTTTATTGACAGTACTTTACGTAACCACAGCATCCATTTATTTGTTTAACATATCACTTTTGGTATTCACAGCATTTTTAGAGCATTTTCTCTTTTATGGAAAAAATGCACTATTGTGCTCGTCATGTCCGTCCGTCCGTCTGTCTGTCCGTGACTTCACGTTTTCGTCGACGAGAAAATGCGCTCTCTGTCACTCACTGCAGTGAGTACTGAGTTATATTTTTTGTAATAGTGTTTTTCGCTGCAACAGCAATTTTCGTCATCGTTCCTTTGAAGAAATATTGAGCCATGCGTTGGCTTCCAATACATAGCAAAATGTGAAGATATAAGTTTAATTCAAGTTATCACTAATATTTGTGCGCTATTTCTCTTCATAACTATTGTATGATGCGTTCAAGGATAATAATGTTTGTTGGCAATGGCCCTCATTTTATAGATGACGGAAAGCGATATAGATATATATCGCTATATTTATAGATATATAGAGATAACATCTAATGAGCCTTTCTCTACATAGTAACTGGTGGTAGAACTGTCGGAAACTCTGTACAAGGCAAGTATGGTCCACTTGTACCCTTTCAGAATCCGTCTAAACTGATTCAGTCAGACGAAGGTTCTTATAAGAGTCAACTTCTCTTCTTGTTACTTTTCAACAACGGACGTTATATTTATCTGTCATAATTAGTAACTCCGCCCAATCTTAATTGTTTGATCAATTCCAATTTGTCCCCTTCAACGCTAACGCTTAGAAGGAACTAACAAACTTCCTGCTATAAATTAAAAAAAAAGTCCCAACAGACGCAAGTTAAGGTGAATGCTCCGTGCCGAGCATCAACGACGTCAGCAAGTGTGTAAATGACTTACTACCTGAACTGCAAACAATAATCCCAATTAGTGACAATCTTATCATAATTATGACTACGTTTAATGTCACATCACCTGGGGCCATACTTTCAAAATTCGTTAAGTGAACGTAAGTATTTACGCTCTATTTTCTTGTCTATGATTGGTGGATTTTGCGTGAAAGGCCGTCAATGATTGGCTGATGAATTTACGATCTCTTAACTTTTTTTGCAATTATAGGCCCAGAACTGCAAACCATAATCCCAATTAGTGACAATCTTATCATAATTATGACTACGTGTAACGTCCCATCACCTGACCTGCTAACAATAATCGCAATTAATGACAATCTTATCGTAATTTAGTAATAAAAAGAAATTAGAAGTGAGTTTAATTGTAAGATCATAACAGAGGATAAATTGTTCAAAAAATAATTTTAAACAATTCAGCGCGTTTTTTGAGACCAGCATAATTTCCAGTGATAACATATGTGCCTGAGTAATTAAATTACACAAACGACCATTTACGATATGCGTAAGGATCATGTCAAACAATCAACGTGTACTTGTTACAAGCTCAGTATTGAGAGTCCAACGGTAATTTGAAGGCCTCAAAGTCTTAAATATTTAGGCATGAAGACTAAATATAGCTCAAAATAACGCATGAATTGAGGGCAACAGGTCAAGGTGCGTGAGAAACCCTATAAGATGCCAGCGAACCAGGGCACCTAGCAAAAGAGGCTCATAAAAACGTGTCACGTATTTCCCTAAAATAATAAAGTACAGTCCAACATTGCAGAAATATTGCAATTATTTATAAAAACGATACTTTGCTACTCGTACTATTTACTAATTCAACGTAAAATAAAACTACTGATTTTGGTGTTATTATAGAAAAAAATATATTGGCAAAACTGTAAGCGTGTGAACGTTTTATTCCGAAAATAAGACCGCAAAACTACCCTAACTAAAAATATATAGCGTACAATTAGCTTGTTGGCATTTACTCTACTGAAGGACAATATACGTTTCGAGGCTAGCAGGAAAGGTGACGAAATGAATGTATATCAGCAACGAAACGTGCTTTGGTCGCCGTGAAGTCAGTTAAATAATGTGGTATAACAAGTGAGAAGGACAAAGATATTTGTGAAATAATTAAAAACAACTTCAGCAACCGTCACAGAAAAATCAAATACAAGATTTCCGTTATGTCGCCTTAGACGCACGTAACATAAAATTTTGTACTTGTTATTTGAGGTATAATTGATAGCCTCCTTTATTTTGCATAAATTTTAATTCACTTTTATTTTGGAATAAAATTCAAATTTTATTCAAGTCGTACTTCAATATACATATTCTTTGTATCACTTTTGTTTCAGAATCGTATTGACCATTAAGATACAAAAACATTCGATAAAATAAGAACAATAATCTATTGAAACAAGGTTGTATACCATTGTAACTTTTTATAGTTTTAGTATGGAAAAAAGGAGCAAATTTATAAAATAAATTCGTTCGCTCTCATTGCAGATAAACAAACAAGCTTTCAGAAGCTACAACAAAGTTCACGTTCTAAAAATTTTCCTCGATTCACTAAAAAAGCATAAACGACAACAATAAACATTTATAGACAATTCTTCGAACTTTATAAATTGCAGTCGGTGTGCAGACGACGATGCGTATGATGAATATCAATTAAAGTGGGAAAACTTGTTACAATTTATTTTCACATGAATTTCATCACCACATTTTTCTTGAATTTCATCACAACATTTTTCTTAAAGGACGAAAATTTCAGTTCACCAATTTTAAAAGCGATCGCAAATCCAGTTTCACGTCTCGAATCAGCAGGACACACTGAATTCAGATGCACTTTACTTTGGAATGAATAATAAATTTCAAAATCAGGAATTAATTAATTATGTAAATTAGTAAATTTCAGAATTAGCGCTTGTGATCAGGACGAGCGCATGCGCGTGAGCGCTCACTATGCGCTCGTGCCGAGCATCAACGACGTCAGCAAGTGTGTAAATGACTTACCGAAACTTCACTGAGTGTAATAATGACAACTTACATAGCTTCAAAATTGTAGCAATGTCCTCTACCGAGTTTTCGTTTAAAGTCAAATACGTAAACGCGTTCGCACATATAAGTGTCAATATCAGCGAAAATAGAGCCGAATGAAGAAAGCTGAATGTGAATTAGTTGAACACTAAGGGAAGTTCACAATAGTGTTGATGCTCACGCAATGGGAGAAGTCCAATGAATTTTAGTTTCAGGAATTTTGTAGCAGATGTTCTGGCAATTTCAAATTGGAAGGACCTGTCTTACGGTTTGGCCATTCGTTTACCCTTATTGGAGCCAGCCGCTTGTATATACTCATGCTCTTGGTGAGCGTATAGGTTGTCTAATTTGTAATAGAATAACTGTGAGAATATGATTAGAATATTGTTGTACTTATCTGGTTAGTGTGTAATTATGATCTGGTTGTTGTTACTTATCTGGTTGGTGTGTACGTAATTAATTTAATGAAATGCGTGTTTATTTCTAGGAAAACTTCCCTCCACTGTTCTGCTGTTCTACTTTAATAAACTTGGAACCCGGACCAAGCCAAAATAACCCTAACAAGACATCGGAAGTTACCCTAAACGAATCAAAGAAACCCAACCCTTCGAACCTGAACTAATACGAACATTACAAGAATTTTTATCATAAATTCAAATATACAAGTCTCCGAATGCAATAAAAATAGTGTTTTCAAAAGGAGATAACTGAGTTCTTTCTCGCCTCATAGCAAATTACGAAAAAATACCTCATTCTTTTACAATTTAACGATCACATCGGAATTGATATGACATGGAACAATCCTGAAACACAATATGGTTAACAATTGTAGTGCTGGTGAGCACAATCTGTTTAACAATTGAAGTGAGAGTGAGCACAATAATTTCAACAATACAAGTGCTGGTGAGCACAATACGCTCACTTGATGGCGTAGTTCTCTACGGTGAGCGCCTTCTCGCGCTCGACGCGCTGTATGAGCTCGCGGTTACGCCGCTGCTCGTCTGCCAGACGCTCCTCAGCACGCTGCTCAGCGTCACGCAGCTGCTCCTCCAACATCACCACTCTGCACCAGCGGGGGACAGTCAAAACTTGTGTACATTTTAGGTAATTTGCTTATAAATAATGACATTTTCATTCAGAACTTCTTTATAGTTAAGTTTAAAACTCTTCCAACATCACCACTCTCAAACTTGTATATATATACATGTTAGGTAATTTGCTTATAAATAATACATCACCACTCTGCAACAGCAGTGTAAAGTTAAAACTTTTATATATGTTATGTAATTTGCTAAAAAATAATGCTATTTTATTAAGAAATTCTTTATAGTTTAGTTTTTCAACCAAACTTGTCGGAGAGAAGGGCTCTGTCCTCCAACTTCACCACTCTGCAACAGCGGTCGACAGTCAAAACTAATATAAATATTAGGTAATTTACTTATAAATAGTGACATTTTTATTCAGAACTTCTTTATAGTTTAGTTTAAAACTCCTCCAACATCACCACTCTGCACCACACAAACAAAATTTAGAGTCGCCCCAGCTTCTGGTAGGTACTCCAAATCAGAAGCTGCCGCGTCTGTAAATTTTCACTGGGTAACAAAATTTAGAGTCGCCCCAGCTTCTGGTAGGTACTCCAAATCAGAAGCTGCCGCGTCTGTAAATTTTCACTGGGTGCAGCAGTGGACAGTCAAAACTTATATACATATTAGGTAATTTGCTTAAAATGAATGTTTTTTTTTTAATTTAGAACTTCTTTATAATTTAGTTTTTTAATCAAACTTGTCGGAGGAGAGGGCTCTATCCTAAATATACGAATATCAAATAATATATAACACAGCATCCGGGTGTTTTATACGCCATGTAACATTCATGATACATAACTTAAAGATTCATTTAATGTTTTTTCGCCGTTTAACGAAGCATAAAAGTCAATTTAAATTTCGATAGGTATTGATAGTGAAGAATTATGGAAACCAATCGCTGAATTATCGAAAATATTGGCAACATGAGAAAAAACGCCAGAAAGGAAAGTAGGCATGCGAATGATATTTGCCCCCATTCCGATGACGCCAAAAAAGACAATTATCTCAATTAGTTACCAACTTATCATAATTATGACTACTTGTAATGTCACATCACCTGAACTGCAAACAATAATCCCAATTAGTGACAATCTTATCCTAATTATGACTACGTGAAATATTACCTGGCCTGCAGCACTGAGTTGTCCTGTTTGACTCTGACGATTCGCTCCTGCGAGTCATTTTGGTTGTCACCCAAGACCTCGACTCTGTTCTGGAGCAGCTTCACCTGCAACAAACATATCATATGTCAAACATTGCTCGGGCGCTCCCAAACGAGATATTTTATATCACTTACAAGAAAAGCAGAGATCTTTTGCTCAAGTATGTGAATTAGTTAGTTGAAAGTAGACCATGAATCAGTTAAGTCAATTGTCTTACAATAAGGTTCTCTTCAAGAGCGAGATTATGATTAAATTCAAAATTTATGAAGAAAATTTAAATCTTCTCGAGATCATTCACAAGTCGTCAAGCCCTTTCATTCGCTGTCTTCGTATTTTACACACAATAAAAATGTAATACACGTAGTATATAAACACGAGTGAACAGACACAGCACAGTAACGGTGAAGAAAGTCTCATAATTAACTCACAAACTATATGGCACAGAAATAAATGTACAGTAAAATGGAAAATGCTGCAGCTGATAGTACATGAATGTTAAATGATGAGAGCATATATAAAAAATGAGGCCAGAACATTAAATGGTGAAGGTTGATCGCTTAACATCATGCAAATCAATATCAAATGTTCCGTTTAAATTGTGCATGCTGTTATCACAGGAGATACATAGTGGGGTTAATATAAGGAGAGGCAAATGTATAATCATTATTCAAAGGACACAGATAATAACTCCATTAAAGCATTAATAGTGTAATGCAACCCTGGGTCGAGAATATAAGTTAAGAGAGTCTAACACGAAGCATTTCAATTAGAAATTCAAGAGACGTTTAACCAGCGACTTAAGATACCTTACCACACAAAACTTACAGTATTAATCAAGTCTCTATAAACGGATCTGCCGGTCTCGTCACCATCACGATCATCTAATGAATCCGGAAAATCATTAGGAATGTAGCCAAAGTCTTGTAAGGCTGGGGAGCAAAATTCAAACTGTCCTTGCCAATCATCGAACTCAAGCTCGGACAGACCACGATCACGTCGGTCAGACGACACACTTGAAAACGAAGACCGTCCTCCTTCGTTATAGACTCTGTAGATATCCGCACACTGTCCTACGGCCTCCCATGTTTCATGGCCGTTGATTTGAATAGTAGGTTGACTAGTGGGTTGAAACGTTTCATGTCTGGGCTGATGATTTGGCTGACCATCGGGAATAGCTCTTGGTTGACTGCGTTCACCATTCACATGTACATTAGGTAATGACGATGAGAGACTAGCAAGTTCTATGGAATGGTGAGCATTGCGTCGTCGAGAATCCTCTTGGACACTAAGATGCAGCATTCCTTGGCCACGTTGAGGCCACGTGTGATGATTCTTGGCATGCCACGAAAATTCTGTGCTACTTGTACAAGCTATTGAGTCTGTTTCTGATCCGGGCTCTATTATTTCACGAGTTGCTGTTCCAATGATCTTATATTCTTCTTGTTTCGACTTATCTACAGAGGAATTCTCCCAACAAATTTTATGTACCTCAAGTGATTCGTGTAGAGGAGCTTTGATTTTCCCCTGATACTGTTCATCGCACTCAACATCGAGGTTGAGTGAACATCGTCCAGTTGAGCTCACGTCATTGGTCGCGGTTGAAAACGGTGTACTGGGGTGGGACCGTTCCGTTTCAACTTCGTAGTCGCTGCTCAACAAAGAGTCTCTCATAGGATCTTTCTGCTCGGTCATACCGTCCGTAATGTTACTAAGAAGCTTGGCACTGTTTACATCCATCATCATATCGGCTTCAGTCTTCGTAACCACATCCGAAGGGGCATTGAATCCATCTTTGTCACTATCACTCATCTCGAAAAAAAACTTCTCGATAGTTCAGCATAATTCAGAACTATTCAACTATCACAACGGATTGTGTCGTGTAATGTGCATCACTTAATTTCAGTTAGTCACTTCAACTTAACAATGATATTTTCGATCATATAACTCTTGAAACCGATGGAACGTTAGAAGTATAGATGACAAGACGTAGCATCAATAATAAATCTACGCACAAAAAATGCTGTAATTTCATCAACAACAAAGTTTATAGGCATTCATTTCAAGAGTGCAACAATACAACACTTTATGTAAACAGCCGAGGCCGCCACACACTACGAAGTTATGAGTTGTTCACAGGAGATGTAAGACAATTCCCGCATTATTACTTGCAGGAGCCATACCTTATCAGCAGAAAATTCAGTAAACAACATCCGCTTGAGATAGCCATCTTTCCTTCAAATCTGGAGCGAAATGTGTCAAAATATACAACGTAAAAGTACGTTTAAGATTCACTAAATGATAATACGAATGATGATCTAACGAATGTAAGTGAGACGTTCAGCACCAGCACACATCCCACACGACATCTCGAGGCTCACTGAGGGTACCCTGTTGTTGTGAGTTGTCCGCAGCCGTAGGGTGGTGGTGACGGTGATTGATGGTGACGCGTGAGCTGCAACACAGCATGGCAGAGTGCCACACCACAGCCCGTTGTTCATAAGACTAAACACTGCGACGTGTGCTGAGTCACAAATAGATCACGCAGGAAATTATTCCCAAGTATCACGAGTGTGTGGGCGAGCAGAGATGTCGTCACCAACAACTTTGATCACCACGCGCTGTAGTGACATGAACGCGAGGCAGACGATCATGACCGAGCAGCGTTTAAACTCAATAAATTAAAGCCAAGATCAAATATTTCGTACTATAAACAAATACATAGCATTATTTATCAACAACACATCTCCCGACTTTGTACGCTATTGACCAGGACATATCAATATAACTAATACTGATAATCATAACTAGACGTAAAAATACAATTTCGGTGGATCACTTCATTTCTTAGTACAAGTTACAAATTATAATACCACAAGGTTTCTTGAGGACATATAAAGACCATAAAACATTGCATTATTCATTCACTGGGTATAAACAATACACTGGACGAACGGGAAAAATTCAAGGCCCTGTAGTCCCAAGTTCTCAAACACAACTAAAGAACGACACCTCACTAACACGACTGTTTTTAGCGCATTTTCTCATTTATGGTAAAAATGCACTATTGTGCTCGCCATGTCCGTCTGTCTCTCTGTCTGTCCGTCTGTCCGTCTGTCCGTCCGTCCGTCCGTGACCTCAAGTTTTCGTCGACGAGAAAATGCGCTCTCTGTCACTCACTGCAGCGAGTACTGAGTTATATTTTTTCTGTAGTTTGCCCGACAAAACCAATTATTCGCTGCAGCACAGAATGCACTTAGAACAAGACTGCGCTATCCCAAGACTGAGGCCTCCTATAATATAATTATGGTGGGTGTTTTATCTTATCTGATAGGAAGAAGGCTTTGATACGTGGTATGCGTTATGCAAGTCAATCATTCTCTGCTTTGTGAAGAATACGGCATTCCCTATGTTACATCGAAGCCGATAGATCTATGCGCGACCAGCCGTTTCTACTGCTAGTTTCTCCGATCCATATTCACTATATTGGAACGTTGATTTTCGTATAAACTTATGATTTGCTTATGAACAATTCTAGAAACTTACCGATATACTTCAATATCTCATAAATGAATTCTTGCCGAGCTAAAAGCTACTAATGTGAACAAATCAATACAAAAAATGGACGTTACAAAGAATTTTGAATAAGAAACCCGAAGCATGCGTGTACATATATTGACTGTAGATAATGTAGCGTAAAAATGCCATGCCAATTAATTAATGAGGTTAAATCCCAATTCTTTCATTTGCATACCTTTACTAAACATACATCATAAAGTACAAACATTTCAACGAAAAAATATCATTATAATACATCCAACATGAACAAACATGATCGTAACAGGTTTACGCGACCAATGCATGCCATGACAAGGCCTTCTCTCTGCAGGCCGCAATCTAACTGGGACTGAAATGGAACTTGTAAGACCATGAGATTTCCGATAGATTTAAAAATAACCATTTTTTAATCTTGTAAAAATCATGACGGATCTTCATGAAACTTAATTTGTAAATATTGATCGAAAACGTTACCTGACTTATAAATTTTAGACCACTGACGATATCAGTCAAAGTTTGAGCTTTCAGTTAAAAAGTTGAGCAGTGTCGGCGAAAGTTTTCAAGTTCATACAGGCTCCATTTGGTCTGCCAGTAACACAGCGGCCAGCTACCTTATTATGTAAGTAGTCTGCATCATGTAGGCGGTCTCCATCCAGCTCCATAAGAGGCTCTGGCTCCATGTCCGAATGATCTTCCTCAACCTCTCCCAGGGTGAAGGTAACTCTGAAGGCGACAAAAAATGTCCTTCACTATTCTATAGGGAAATTTGCTGACCGTTTACGGAGGAAGGAGCCGAAACTTCGGTTGCAATGGAGATCTTTTGTATGAAGCACGATGATGTAAGGCTAGGATCACGACGAGCTGAGCTGCAATTCCATGCAACAGAAGCATATACCCGTAATGTGTTCTCGGTTACCGATTAAACCATATACCTCGAACGCACTTAACGACGAATGAACCCGGCATCGAACATTCTCGTTTTGGGCAAGAACATTTTTCGTCGTGCAAGCTTGCAAGAATGTCGACGAGAGAGATGGTTAGGGTCAGGAAAATAAATTAGTGCAAAAATAAAAACATAACTGGTGAAGGCAGAAGAAGAAAAAAGTTAACCATGGAATAAAATATCCATTTTAAGTTAAGCTGTTGTTGTAGGAAGAAATTTATTAGACAACACCGAGGTTTAATTTGAACCGAAAGCAGATCAGTGAAGTGCAGCGTAGTACCTGTTATAAGGAAGCATGCAGGTGCGTTAGTGATAGGAAAAAATGAACTTGGTAATTGATCTGTAAAAAAAACGCGCAGTGTTACAAGTCTGTAATGACAAATGCCAGGTCCTTGACAGGTCATGACAGGTCACCTGATTCATGAGATCATGGACGTCGTCCTCCATGGACGCATCGCTATGCAGGTCGTCGCCGTCCACGGCCACGCCCGACGACCGTCCCGACGAAAAGGACGGCGACCTGAAAAGCTGTTGTGCCGCCCCCGCCGCCGTCCCTCCGCCGCCCATGCGTCGCCCCCCACTGGCGACCACAGCAGCGTTAGTAACCACAATAACCTCAAACTTAATACGCAGGCATCCTCCAGAAAACTGGTCTCCATGAATAAAATATATATTTACAACACACAAAAACACTACTAAAATATACGAGGATATACAACACACAAAAGCAGCACTAAAATACACGAGGATTTACATAACACAAAAACACAACCTTATACACAATGATTTACAACACACAGAAACACTACTAAAATACACAAGGATTTACAACACACAAAAACGCCACGTAAAATATTTCTGCTATGAAACTTGAATAAGAAGGAAAAAGTGGAGAACAAAGAAAAAGATAAAATTTGGAAGTGAAAGTGGCGCCAACAGTTACATAACCATCCCAATTGAAACAAGACGGAAATAAATATAAATAAAAATGAAAAAAAAATTTGAAGCGAACTCGCATACGACTTCCGTGAACATTAAGGCCAAAACACGCCCATATTAGAATTATTTAAAATTGTTAAGCAAAATGCCACTCGATCTAAACTGTCTAGTGTAAACTCTGAGAACAAAGCAAGTATCAACACTAAACATAAAATACGTTATATTTACACTAATATTCACAATCACGCTGTAGTATAAGTGTGATGGAAGTCAATTTAGAGTTGTACTGCAAACTATCATATGTATGCGTCATACGAAGTATACTATTACATTCCGAGAGAGCTAACTTAATAGTTTCTGCAGCAGCACAAACTCTGCTAATATCCACTATCAACAAATTTGGACGAATAGAGAAAGTAAAGCTTCTTCAATATTGCATGCCGCGCTTCACAATTTAGAAAAATTTACCTTGGAGTAAGAAAATACTCGAATGTATTTCTCCACTTCAAGTCAATCGAGCATTATCTCAATATATCGTGGCATAAAAACGTTAAACCCATTCGACTCACCAGCCATTGTACGAGAAGTAATCCGAGCTGCCGAGTCTCGTGTCCACAAGATCAGAACGAACCCAAGTCTCAAACATTTTACTTCTAGCTTTGATTTCGATTCAAATATTGAAACGTTTCTTTTTGTTCGATTTTCAGTGCTCAAGTCGGACAGTTTTTATGAAGAGAAAATGTTGAAAATTAAACAAGGGTTGCTATATTTTAATGGTTCCTAAAATATGTTAAAATGAACGATTGAATAGTTTGCGTTACACATGTAATACAATCAAGCATTTTATCGACAATATTGAGATTTTAAGTTTCCTAACTGTAAAATCCAATCTGAGGTTAATGAACAAATAGCGTTTCCCACATAATCAGTAAGGAAAACTAAGATAGTTATTAAATTTTGCGCGGACGTTAGTACAATGCAAAACATACCGTGCGATACCGTGATTCGTATTGACACAGCTGGTATCGTTGATACAGCGATCATATGAGACAGCTGGTATCGTTGATACAGCGATCATATGAGACAGCTGGTATCGTTGATACAGCGATCATACAAGACGGTAACACTGATAAGGTAATTTATATAAGCGTTGTGACGCTAGTTAGTCCTGTAATTACCTAGCTGGGCGTCAGGCAGCGCTAAGTGCTGTACATAATTGTAGTAATTGCGGCTCTTCTGCTCGCAAAACAATTAATTTTTGTCTGTAGCTGTTGCAAGAATCTTTAGAATGCATCAGGTAAGCAAACAAAACAAGGCAAAGGTGTCAGTCATAATGCGGCAGTTTTTAACGAGAAAATGTACTCTAAATGATGCGATGCACTCTAAGGTGCAACTATAGAAACGAATTATACACTGACTTTAAATTTGAAAAATGTAAAAAATGCTTGAAGAAATCAAGCATAGTTGGAATCGATAGGTCTACAAGCTTCGATAGGTCTACAAGCTTCGATAGGTCTACAAGCTTCGATAGGTCTACAAGCTTCGATAGGTCTACAAGCTTCGATAGGCCTACAAGCTTCGATAGGCCTACAAGCTTCGATAGGTCTACAAGCTTCGATAGGTCTACAAACTAAACTGAAAAAATCTCCCGACACTTCACACTAAAATAGCGATCCCAAACAATGAGCAATTGTTCACAAAAAGTCAAGAACGTTGAGGGAAACGCGCCGGTACGTGCGCTCAAACCAAACAGTATTCATCACAAATGAAGATCGGGCTCCGGAACTGTCACATAAATGATAAATCACTTCAAGTGCTTGTGAATAAATCACAAATTGTGAATAAATGTGAATAAATGATGATAGCTCAATGGGAAGTGACATGAATCATCACCCTTATGTGATAAAAAAAATAAGGGTAACCATACACCATCATCGCCGTATATATGCAACAAATAGGGATATTTCTACAAGAAATTCGTCAGTTACTGATTGATTCAAAGTTGTACAAACATTGTACAGGAAGTTGAGGAGTGTCTGTACAAGCATATGAGAACACACGCAACATGTAGGTACATAAGTTGCGTATGTTGCGTGTATGACAGTTGAGCGTTTGTGGCGGGGTGAGAGGCGAAATCGTTTGTGTGCGACAGTATATGAGCCTTTCTCTCTTCTGTGTCATCTGGACTCTGAACTGGACATCACGCATCGGTTCTACTGGACACATCACGCATCGGTTCTACTGGACACATCACGCATCGGTTCTACTGGACACATCACGCATCGGTTCTGCTGGACACATCACGCANTCAGCAACGAAACGTGCTTTGGTCGCCGTGAAGTCAGCTGAATAACATGGGATAACATGTGAGAAGGACAAAGATGTTTGTGAAATAATTAAATACAACTTCAGCAACCGTCACAGAAAAATCAAATACAAGATTTTCGTTATGTCGCCTTAGACGCGCGTAACATAAAATTTAGAAGTTGTTATTTGAAGTATAATTGATAGTGTCCTTTATTTTGCATAAAGTTTAATTCGCTTTTATTATGGAATAAAATTCAAATTTCATTCAAGTCATAATGCAATATAATATTTCTTTTTATCACTTTTGTCTCAGAATCGTATTGACGATTAAGATACAAAACACTCGATAAAAAAAGAATAAATAATCTATTGAAATAAGATTGTATCATCGTAACTTTTTATAGTTTTAGCATAGAAAAAAAAGTAAATTTCTAAATAAAACCGTTCCCTCTCATTGCAGATAAACAAGCTTTCAGAACCTACAATACAACAAAGTTCATGTTCTCAAAAATATTCACAGATTGACTAAATATCATATACAACAATAAATATTTACAGTCAATTCTTCGAACTTTAGTAATTCCAGTCGATGTGCCAACGACAAACAAAAACTTCGAATGATGAACATCAAAGTGGAAAACTTGTTACAAATTATTTTCACGTAAATTTCATCACCACATTTTCCAAACTAACAAAACGAAAATTCAGCTACACCAAATTTAAAAGCGATCTTAAATCCAGTTTCACGTCTTGAGTCAGCAAGATTACTTTCTCAACGAGTATTATTCACACTGAATTCAGATGCACTCTACTTTGGCATGAATAATGAATTAGTGAATCACAATTAGTAATGCGAATCGGAATTCTAGTAACGCGCTTTTGATTAGGACGAGCGCATGCGCGTGAGCGCTCACTATGCGCCTCTGAACAACAATGCGCGCATCCTGCTGCGCGAGGCTCAGAGGCCGCCCCCCCCACCCATACGCAGCCCCCTTCCCCACCCGTCAGAGGGTGTATGTACTATTGTCTATTTATCAGTCGTGTTACATATTTTCGCGTGAAACTTCTTGGAAATTGTGAAAACATGACAACGTTCGCAAACTGCAAGCTGTAATAAATTATAAATCATACAAGCGGAATGGCAGGAAGATAATGAAAAGCTAGATTATAATTTCAAACATACAACAGCTTTATAACGTCACCAAATTGAGGGGGGAGGCCTAATGCCTTCCCAAGTAGGCCTCTTCTCCTCAAGTTACATACCCCCCTAAAATTAAATCCATGTTGAAAAAAATCGAAATCAGCCGCTGGTGTAGAAATCAAGAATACGTTGTTAAACCTAACATTTTATCTGTATGAATGGCCCCTTATTGATCTCCATATAATTTATATTTGAGCACAATAACTGCCATGCAGACTGCTGCGTGGCAGGCCATATACAGTAATTACTCCCCCAGACGCTGCTACCACATCCGTCGGTATGGCCTCTACCATGGTTGAATGTATTAATTCAACCATGGGCCTCTACCATGTGCGCACCGAACTGCTTACGCCATATTCGATGACAAAAATGTATATGAAGAAAAAATCATCTTTATTATATGTCAGCTTTTTTTGGCATTACATTTGGTACGCAAACACCTTCGGTTAAAAAAGATATCTAGTTAGTTTCCCCTTTTTAAAAATATTTACTGTCGACCCTTCAAATCGTTCAAAGGTATATAATTTTCTTCACGTTTTACTGCATTAAATTAACAAAAATTCACCAATTAGTACTTTACCGCCATTACGTAGTATAAGTTGATGGTACACATCGGGTACCTGCTGGTGCGCCGCAACTGCAATGTATTCTAAATGGTAGTTTATTTCAAAAGGTTTATAGGACCCGCTGATCTATAAATAACGTCGCTATACAAACAACGCTATAGCGTTGTGAGAACACGCTATAGCGTTGTGAGAACACGCTATAGCGTTGTGAGAACACGCTATAGCGTTGTGAGAACACGCTATAGCGTTGTGAGAACACGCTATAGCGTTGTGAGAACACGCTATAGCGTTGTGAGAACACGCTATAGCGTTGTGAGAACTCGCTATGGCGTTGTGAGAACTCGCTATAGCGTTGTGAGAACTCGCTATGGCGTTGTGAGTACTCGCTATAGCGTTAGTTCGGCCGCCGCAACAGAGGAATGTACCGATAATGTCACGTAGACTCAACATCCGTTTACACCAATACAATTAGCGATAAAAATTAATATCATGCATTATATTAAATTCGGATATCTGTTGACCGACATGTAATAGCACGTGAAAGGCCTTGAGAACTCGACTATTCTA